CGATTTTGAACTATTTTAGTAGTGCTCAAATCTTGTATGAAGTCAGTTGTACTGATGTCACTAAATTTGCGATAAGACACGGTATGGCGTTGTTTCGGGGGCTTTGAGATCTTCAATGATGTAAACAAAGCAAGGTGATCGCCAGAAGGATTACCATTCTGATCGAATAGACATGGGTCCTTAATGGATGGAGATGTTTGCACAATTATGCTGTTGTCTCTTGTTATAACGACATCAAGTATGTGACCCTTGTTGTGTGTTGGTCCTTGGACATGTTGTACCAGTCCATGGTCACGAAGAGTTTCATTGAATTTCCGAGTATCGCTCGCATTCACATTATCCAGGTGAAAATTAAGATCGCCCGTAATAAGCAACTCGTGTGGTATGACAACAAGCCGATCTAGGAATTCGGACCATTCCTCAAAGAATGTGGTGTTTTTCAGTTTATTTGTCCGAGATGGAGGAGGACGGTAGATGACGCATACTCGGAAATGATGTGATTTAACTACAACATCGCATTCTAGCAACTCAAAATGTGAGAAGGTCTGTGCGTGCTTCACTTCAATATTTGATTTGTGGGTAACGGCTACACCACCACCTGTCTTTCCTTTTCTCGAAATTTGGTGAATACTGTATCCATTTGGAGTAATTTCGGAGATTACAGGTTTGTCAATTGAAGTTCCTAGCCAGGTTTCAGTCAGTGCTAGTATATCTGCATCATTTGAAAGCAAAAAATCACAGATCGAAGTCGATTTGTTCTTTACGGATCTTGCATTTAGCGAAATGAGGGAAATTCTATCAATGATTTGACTGATAGCTATTCGCGGAATCTTTCGAAGATATGATGTATCACGGGCGAATGTTTCATGAGTGTCCTCGTCAGGTTTATGTCGAATGAGAGTCTTGATAGGATGTGTATCGATACTATTAACAGTGAAGTTAGATGAACATTGTGGTGTTATATGTATCAAATTACTATGGGAAATAGTTCCTCTGAAGGAATGATAAGCACACGAAACCCTGTTTGATGTCACAACAGTGCGGATCGATCGGAAAAAATTTCTTCAGGCTTTTGTCCCCCGTCTCGTTTTTTGGGTAGATTTCATGATGGACGTACTGTATTTTGAAATATTTTGACATGTAATCCACGGATGGCTGAATACTTGAGCCGTAGATAAAAATACCCTGACAGGTTGTAATGAGTTCATGGTTGATTGATCACAATAAAAGTTTGTTGACAAAATGTATACGGTCTCTAATAATGTTATTTCGTGCTGAATTGTTTAATTGAATATAACACTATTTACGATAGAGTAAAAATTTGGGAAGAAACAGTGTCTGGAAGTCACAGGAAAAGCAAAAATATCACTTACGTTGTGGGAGCTGCCATTAGCGCTATATTTAAACATGACAACAAGCCGATCTGGGAATTTGGACCATTCGTTATTTCATGACGTCACAATAGGAAACTCAAAATAAACAAATAAATTTTGACGTCATCAATAAATTTCGACCAATCATTTGCCGAGAACAGATATTTCACTAGTGAGGAGAACAATTTTTTCACAATCGGTTGAGAAATGTGAAAATAGTGAAAAAAAATTAGAGACATTTGTGTTGACATGAAAGATCATTGATTTGCTCATTTCCTCTTAATTTACTGAATATAGAATGTTCGGATTTTAAAGCTCTACCTTCCAACTGTTGTATTTCCATCGCCACTGCTGAGTCTTATTTATTATTTACTATGATATTCACACCAAAAAAAAACGCATACAAATAAGTTAATTTTAGCAACAGTAGTTTACCGATGTTCACAATTCATGAAAATCGTCTTCCAAGGCCGTCAAAGGAATCGACTGACGATTTCACTTATTTCTAAATTATGTCAAACCTACCATGTTTTCTGTTTAAAATATCTCTCTACTTTTATTATAGTTTTCATTATTATAGCCAAAAACGCAAAATTCATAAAATCGTTTTTGATGGGCAAAATTCCTATAATTTTTCGACCGACGTGTTCGTTCTATTTATGAAGATTTTGTCTTGCTGATCATCTTTGCTGTATATAGTTTCTCTCAGTCTACTGAAGTTTTCACAAAGAAATCGCAAAATGTCTGAAAATTGCCATGAAAGAAAAAATAACTCCAACACAGAGTCACAGAGAAGACATTTTTGGCATGATATTTGTCTGATCTGCTGCTATTGGTCGGGTCAAATGAACATAACTAACAATCGATTTGAATACGTACTCGCATTAACACTATTAGTACTAATATTTGAATGTAATCCCCAAGTAGAATATGACTGACTGATTAACGTAATACTAGGTGAAATTATAGTTTGAAAGCTAGAAACGCAAGGGCCAGCCATGGAACTATTAAAAGTATGAATACTTGAAGTGTAAGGAAGAATACCACTAGCACCTGATACACTATTTGGAACTAATTGTGTTTCATTTTCTCTTGTTAAGTTCGAAATTTCGGAATTAACACTATATATGGGAGCTCTTGAGGACCCTTCCCTCCATTATTTAAAAAAAATAGGAAGTGGTAATTGTCTGTGTCTCAAATTCATATTTTCAATATTACCCATATTTTAGTCAGTACTTGCATCTCATATATCCCAGTAAACTTGAAATTAAGGATACTACTGATACTAGAAAGCAGCTTTATCCCTTACTTTTTTTTTCCGTAAATTTTATGGACACCATCACGAATTGGTTGATCTTTACGATGTACCTGTGTCTAAACTAACTAACGACATTTTTTACCACGCCTTAGATTGTGGTTTACGATCTACGTCGTCTGGTCTGCTTAGTACCGAACGTGACCTGTTCCCGAATATGACTGTTTTGCCGAGTGTGCATTCGCATTGCTATATGACGTGTCTCGGTATTTATATATCCAACATTCATGTATTTAGTTATGATGTTTCTTTTGTATGTCCGGTTAGATATTTTGTTATTTCTTATGTTCGCTGTTGGAGACGACCTGGTTCGGTATTTATATATCCCGCTTTCGGGCATTTTGTTGTTACTTTCTAATACGTTTGGGTCCGGTGGGTCATTTTGTGCTGAGTTGTTGTCTGTTTATTTCGTTTGTGGTTTGAATTCTGTATTTTCGGTACATTTCACATATGTAGTGTTTGTCAGTATAGTCGAGTTACTCTCGGTTCGTCTACAGGACTTTTGTTTCATGTTGTTTGTTTTCACGTGTGTTTACTGTTTGGTCTTACATGATCTTGTTATATATTATAGTTATTTTATTTTTTATTTTCTATATGTATGTAAAAGTTGAGATAAACAAATTAACTACTGCATTTATATATGATTTTGAGATTAAAGCAACTATATGCACAGGATTTTTTTGTTTATACAGTTTTCAATTAGAAGAAAAACCACATGGTTAGATAAAGTAACACCATTACAAACTAAATCACAATTTAATATTCTTGTACGTGTCTATAAATAAAACAAATCTATTTTATTTTTAAAAATGTACCTATGATAACATAAACGTCACTAAATAAGTAACTTTTTGTGACGTTGATCCATTCATGTCACGCGCAGTTAATATTTCGTTTGTGGTGTCCTGGTGTGCTGTCGTAAATTCATGGGAGGTATCCGTTGTTATTCTGCGGTTTACATGTTGTAATATACTATTGTATTATTCATTTATGTATTTCTCTGTGCTTGAGTGTTCTTGCGTTTGTTTGTACTGTATTCCTGTCACGTACTGTTGTCATTCTAGCGGTATTTTTAACATTGCCATATAAGCGGGAGGTTTGGCTAGCCATAAAACCAGGTTCAACCCACCATTTTTTCTTAAAATGTCTACCAAGTCAGGAATATGGCAGTTGTTATCTATGTATGTTAGCGTTTGCTTTTGTTGTAGTTCAGTGTTTCTGTTGTTCCGTTGTTTTCCCCTTATCGTTGATGTGTTTCCCTCGGGTTTAGATCGTTAACCGGAAATGTTTTTGCCTAATCGAATTATGACTATTGAACAGCGGTATACTTTTGTTGCCTTAATTTGCCAGACTAAATTAATACTTTTAATTTCAGTTACCCTTAATGTTTAAAAATATTTTGACAAAAATACACCTTGAGTTGCAATAACTCTTAATGCTCAATTGATTATTTAAGTAAAATACACCATGAGTATCAACAATTCTTAGTACTGAATAATTGTATGGAGTAAAATACACCTTCCGTTTCAAAACATCTTAATGATCAATAAACTTATGGAGTAACACACATTGAATGTCACTAACTCTTAGTGCTCAATAATTATATGGAATAAAATACACCATGAGTTTCAATAACTGTTATTGCTCAATAATTTTATGGAGTAAAATACACCTTGAGGTTTAACAACTCTTAAGTCCTCAATAGTTTTGTCGAGTGAAATTCACCTTGAGTTTCAATTACTATTAGTGCTCAATAATTTTATATGGTAAAACACACCTTGAGTTTCAATAAGTCTTAGTGCTCATACTAATCAAAGTTTTGTCTTAATATTCACTTTCAGTCTGAAACTATAAGTGATTCGAAAAAGAAAACAATTGCAAAATCTATATTTAAGCTGTTTTGCTTGTTTGCTTGTTGAACTTTTTTATATGTATTTGTTTTTTGCATTGTTTTTTTTTTTAATTGTTCTTTTACCGCTGCCACCAATTGAAGAGCCAACCGATATTATGAATGGTTGGCAGATATTATCAAAAAATCAATTCTAAAAGTCACAGTATTAAACTGTTTTGAAAGTCCAAACTTTGTAAAACTAGAATCAATATTTATTTAGATAAATAAAAGCAGCTTTTTTAAAAGCTAATATTATTAGTTACAGTTATTAATTAATATGAAGTTGTAATGTGTGCTAAATAACTTGCAGTGTGTACAGTATACCTCAATAATCAAAAGTGCTAAACTGTCAAAATAAGCTGATCACTCAAGGCTCTAACTTGAAACTGACTATATTTTCTGAAAACGTTTGGAAGGCCAAATCAATCAATACAATTTATATATAGTACATGTGTACACACATGCAACAGTAAACAAAAATGGCCTTCAAGTAGGATTTTGGATTATTCTAACATTATAAAAGGATAAATATGGATTAACTAGGATGCAGTTATAACATCTGAATAAGGTAATTATGTTGTAACTATGAAAGATCCTTCCGCATAACAAACAACTGTACAAAAGTGAAAGTATATGGAACGCCACAGCTGTCTTATGTGGAACTCTGATACTACTTTATGTTGTTTAATTATTACTTGATGATATTTTGTCTTTACTTAATATGGTTTTGACATTACGTAATGATGTTTTGATATAACTCAATATGGAATAGTCATTACTTAATGATATTTCGATATTACACGATATGGTTTCGTATTGACTTGATATAGTTTTGTCATTACTCGATGTGGTTTCACCATTATTGAATGTGGTTGTGTCATTAGTCAATGTGGTTTTAACATTACTTGATGTGAATGTGACTTAACGTTATGTAGTTGTTTCACTACATGATGTGGTTTTGTTATTTTGTAATGATGATTTGCCTATTCTTTATATGGTTTTTACATTACGTGATGATGTTTCAAAATTTGACGATTTTACACTACATGATGTGTTTGTTTCATTATTTGATGTGGTCCTGTCATTCTTTGATGTGGTTACCCCATTACTTGATGAGGTAAAATCACGTGACCAATTCGGAAAAACCTGTTCTATTTTTAGATAGATTTCCATGTTGTATGTGCCTTGGATGAGTGTGGCCATCCATTGAATTAGAGTTCGGGTTACTGTTTAAGTTAAACTTTGAGTTGTTCTTCGATTTCGAATTCAAGTCATTATTAGAATTAAAGTTTTAGTTAGCATTGAGTTTCGAGTTGGACTTCGAGTTTGAGTCACATTTAAAGGTAGAGTTCTAGTTACAACATTAAATTTGAGTCACATTTTGAGGTAGAGTTTGAGTAAGATTCGAATTTAAGTCTGATTTAGATTAATTAAGATTATGAGTTGAAATTCGAGCTATCTTATATGAGTTCGTAATTAAATTTTCTATCGCGGAACAAGGGCTTCCGAAAAGAGGGCTCCAGGGTATGCGTACAAAAGATAAACAATGTTACAGTATACAAAACGCAACATAGAAGTTGAAATAAAGCTAGATGTGGTGTGATTGACAATAAGACAACTATCCACCAGAGTTTAAATGCAGTGGATGTAAGAAATCATATATAGGCAACCGTACAGCCTTCAACACACCGTATAGTCAGCTACAAAAGGCCACCATGCACCATGTGAAAAAATTCAAACGAAAAAACAAACGGTCTTATTTATAAATAAAGAATCTACTAAAAAAAATGACACACATTTATACAACGACAACAATTGAACTTCATGCTCCTGACTTGGGGCAGGTACATAAAGAAAGTGGCGGAGTTTAACATGTATGTGAGCGCTAAATCCTAACCTTACATCGGACTGTTACAGTTGTGTAACAGCACAACACGAGAAAAAAATGTAAACTAGACAACGTGATGCCCCTGCACTCAACTCATTTAACCGCTTATACCCCAAAAATGACAAAAAAAAGTTCAATTATCTTCCATAAAGAGCAAAAGATAATAAAAATTAAAACCCTGACCACATGCACACCTTCAATATTATGTTCAAACAGCCAGCAGAGTGAAAACTTCCTAGCATTCAAACTGTAGGAGGAGTTATCTGGAAACGCTCTTCTTATGCAAGTAAATTTCCCAAAAAATTACAAAGTTCAACTATCTCCCAAAAAAGCAAATATTAATAAACATTAAACCCTGACCACATGCACACCTTCAATATATGTACAAACAAACAGTAAAGAGAAAACTTCCTAGGATTCAAACTGTAGGAGGAGTTATGCGGAATAACTATATACCCATAATGGGACGGACAGAAGGACGGACGGACGGACAGTGGTAAAACAATATGCCCCCCAACTTTCAGTTGCGGTGGCATACAAAACAGTTTCATTTGGCTGATTCAATAGATCGGTATGACTGGGTAATATAAATCCATCGGGGTGATCTCGAATGCTCCAGAGAGGCACTCGTCGTGTTATTCGAGAAAGTACAAACCCAGTGATTTGGTTTTATTTGGTAGTTTACATTCAAGGAAAAGATGACGGTATTATGGTTACGACCACTGGAACATGTCCGTCGTTACATGTGAAACAGATATTCCAAAAAGTTTATTTTTCAATTAGTGCGAGGTAGATCAGGGAATTCAATTCATTACAAATAAAAGATTGATATTCGTATAAGTTCAAATGATCATTTAGGCTAAAAAAAAATTCGGAGAATTCTTATTTTATAGTATTGATGCTTTGTCGCTTAGTCCGAGACCCCCTTCCCCCGTTTCCCTGTAACTTAAGTGTGAGTTGATTTGAAGTGTTTCATTTGTTAACAATAAAGTTCAAGTCTATTGATTTGTGTCGAGCCTGCGACATCAATGTAGCGGCAGTGAGACACAACAAACATATATTTCATCGTCGATAGTGGCGTCGGCGTCTCCATCTCCATTTTTTTTATTTCTATTGAGTTTAACCTTTCATTATACATGTTACTAAACATGTATGCCATCATAATTTTGTACTTTTAGAATATCATACTGTATTTGTTTACCTTGACTATTGTATCTGTATGTTTCTCTGTAAACTTGTATTTAGTTTTTAGAGAATAAAGTATCTATGTATCTATCTATAGATCGTTAGGTTTCTAGTTTTTTACATTTTTCATTTCGGAACCTTTTATAGCTTACTTTAGGGTATGGGTTTTGCTCATTGTTGAAAACCATACAGTTTTGTTTTAGTTAAATAAAACCGAATTAAACTGTTTTGACATGATAAATTTGTAAACCTCCATGAAGTGTTTTAAAACTTGTATAGGAGTTATTCCTCAATTTCAAGAAATAGCATCTACAGAAAAACATTTTTTTTTAAATTTTTTTTTTACCGATAAATGTATAGATAAATGAACAGCCGATCAACATGAAGCTTTTACACTTACAGCAGCAATATCAGGCGCGACATATGGTTCCGTGGAATATTTTACAAATTTATTACGAAAATAATGCTTCCGTTTGAAAACATAGGATAAAAACAACAGGACCAAGGGGTTTGGGGATATCCCAATTATGTCCGAAATACTGTGAACTTTTTAATACTTTTTTTCTTATTATCGTCTGCCGTTCCCCTTTATAATACCAAATAACTCTGAACAACCACTCGAACTTTAATTTGAACTTTAACTCAATGGATAGCGATACCCATCTAAAGCACATTAAACAAACGATATAATATTGAAATCTGTTTAAAAATAGAACATATTTTTTTCCGAATTGGTCACGTGGTTTTACCTCATCAAGTAATGGGATAACCACATCAAAGAATGACAGGACCACATCAAATAATGAAACAAACACATCATGTAGTGTAAAATCGTCAAATTTTGAAACATCATTGCGTAATGTTAAAACCATAAAAAGAATAGGCAAATCATCATTACGAAATAACAAAACCACATCATGTAATAAAACAACTACATAACGTTAAGTCACATTCACATCAAGTAATGTTAAAACCACATTGACTAATGACACAACCACATTAAATAATGGTGAAACCACATCGAGTAATGACAAAACCATATTGAGTAATGACAAAACTATATCAAGTCAATACGAAACCATATCGTGTAATACCGAAATATCATTAAGTAATGACTATTCCATATTGAGTTATATCAAAACATCATTATGTAATGTCAAAACCATATTAAGTAAAGACAAAATATCATCAAGTAATAATAAAACAACATAAAGTAATATCAGAGTTCCACATAAGACAGCTGTGGCGTTCCATAAAAGTAAGTATGAAGTAGTTTCGTGGAAAAATATACGCCGGGAAAAACGAATGAAATGAATGAATGAAGGCTATTACTAAAATAATTACTGTCAATAATCTTGGCACAAGAATGGTATTGTAGATTTTCAGCAGTAACCTACCCTCTACTCCGTTGTATAGTGTTTACATATCTCAGTTACGCTCGTGCATGTTTACACTATACGGACTCTTTAACAGGGGTGTACTCCTTACACAAAAACAGCTCTTTGATATTAATAAGTATTGTAATTTTCATTGTTATTAATAAATGTAATGTCAGTATTACAAATCTAATCTTGAATCAATCCTAGTCCTATCTTATTTTTGGAAAATATTTTTACAAATTCAAATGTGACGTCACTTAGTGTGTTTTTTTTAGAATTTCAAATGTGACGTCACTTTGTGCGTTGATGCTTTGGCTAACTCGGCTGTGTATTTTTATATGTTGGATTAAGTTGTTTTATGTAATGTATCCGTTTTTATTCTGTAGTTAGTCCCCACTTCGGTTTTATCATGTATATCTATTATATAGTCATTTTATAAAATTTACTGTTTGCAAAATTATAAATTATTCTAAATAATAAGGATGTTCTTGTCCCAGGCAGAAAACCCTGGCCGTGTTAGGCGCAACTTTTTGGAAGTTTTGGTCCTCGGTGCTCTTGTCTTTGTACTTGTTTTGGCTTTCAAGCTTTTTTCATCTGAGCGTCACTGGATGGTCTTGTGTGGACGGGACGCACGTCTGGCGTATTGAATTTTAAGCCTAGTACCTTTTGTTAGCTATTATTCGTGTGTTTCTTTGTCCTATATCTTCTCCCATTTATTTGTATTGTGGTCCTGTCATGTGATGTTGTCGTTTTTGTGTTGTGTTTGACGTTGCCATTTAAGCGGGAGGTTTGGCATGCTACAAAACCAGGTTCAACCCACCATTTGTTTCTTAAAATGTCTTGTACTAAGTCAGGAAAATGGCCATTGTTATATTATAGTTCGTTTCTGTGTGTGTTACATTTTAATGTTGTGTTTTTGTTGTGTCGTTGTTCTACTCCTATTTTTGATGCGTTTCCCTCAGTTTTAGTTCGTAACCCGGATTTGTTTTTATCTCTATCGATTTATGAGTTTCGAACAGCGGTATACTACTGTTGCCTTTATCTTATAGAGTTACGGAGAAGAACGACTGAATTCAACACACCACAAGTGTTACAGTCAATATCAAGAATTGATTGACCGATGCAAGGTTTTGGTGTCTCAACTCACTAGCGACATATTTTCTGCGTTCTAAGATCTTTAGATACCAGCAAAGTTGTCTGATCTGTAACTTTTACCGATTGCGTCCTATTTTCGATGGTGACATTTTTACTGAGTTTAGATTCGCATGGTGGATAATTCATGCATAACAAGAGACGCTTACACTGTGGACGTACCCAGTCTCACTCCTTTTGGAGTTATTGCTATTCCCACTGGGTTTTTGTTTTTTATTTACCCTAATTTGTCTCTTCATAATCGATTTACGAGATTTGACAATCGTTAAACTACTGCCGCCTCAATCTATGCATATCAAAGGATTCAAATAAACGAATTCTTCTAACCTGGTATAATTTATGTGATTCATCCAGAATTTATACGAAATGAAAGAGGCGACCATACTGATTCAGCTGTCAGGAGACCGCTTTCACCAAAGACCACAGGTAACGTACGTGAATACTTTATTATATGCAGATCATAGTACGAGTTCAATAAATGGAGACCAATTGACTACACGTTCGTGTGTGTTTTTTTATTAAGGGATTAAATATATTCATGAGAACTGATTGTTTTTCCAAACATGAGACCCCGACATAAGAATAATGCATCAAACTGTAAAATTGAAATGAATATACTTCCTGCTACGCGTTCTCAGTGAACTAAAAGTTAAAAAATGTAAATAATGTACATTGTTATTCCATTCGTTTAGTGTTCCAATAACGAATTGGTTGACAATTACAGTATAATACTGGAAATAAGAGATTTGCTAACCCCAGGCAAATACGGCCTCAGTCAGATTTGGCACAACTTTGGTTTTTTTGGTTTTTGATGCTGTTCAACTTTGGTCATTTTAAGTATATTTACTGCTCATAAAATGATAAAATCACTCGGAACACTAATGTCTACCCCCAGACTAAAATGGCTTACGCCAGTTTTGTCACAACTTATTTGAATTTTTTGGGTCACTGCCTTTAACTTTGTAACTGATTTAGCCTTCCGACTCTTGATTTCAGTGTCATTTATCAGTCTTACGTAGACAAAAAGCGCGTATGGCGTATAACATTATAATCCTGAGATCTTTGAAGAATTTGTGCGAGGCTTGCTTTCATGCACAATATCAAAAGAATTGTTAACAAAAAGATATCAAAATACTCACCAGGATAAACCATTTTTTGTCGCGACTTCCGATCATTCCCGAATGTACCGATAATTTAAATATGCGGTCAACGAAAAGCAGCAATACGGCATGTCTAAAAATTAAACAAAAACCATTTCGAGGTCAATCTTTAATAAAATACAGGCTTTCCATATCATACATAAATCGTCCAGAAGAAACTTAGAAAATCATCCATATGGGAGAGGGTTAGACCAGTTTTGTGAAGATAAATTTAATATCCATAGTACAGAGAATAACACAGAAAAAATCAGTTCGGCTTTATAATTACATGCTGAACAAAAGTTTGCTTCTCTCGTTTGTTCAAATATAGTCATTAAGATTCACCTTCGTAGACAATTGACAGCCTGGGTATCAGTCCATATACAGTATACTAAGATTTGAATGAACAAAGGTTCATAAAACTGTCGTACCACATAATGAGCATAACACTTGATAAATTTTGATGCACCCAAAGCGGTTTTCTCCATTTAAGCGTCAACAGAAAAACACTCAAACCCAGAATTGATATTAACTATAATGAGGAATTATCATTTAAAAGCCCATAAAAATTACACACATCAAATATGAACTTTCAAAAAAACAATAGTACATAATCTCTGTCCACGTCATTTCATATCTATCATCCAATCAAATCTTGATATGGTTAAAACTTCGCCTATTAATTGTCGGCAAATGCTTAAATTGAAATGGTTGAGTAAACATTATAACAAATTTGCAGAATCTAACTTTATTCAACATGGAATTGTTGAACAGCTCCTACTTTGTAATAATGGTTTAACAGACGACAAAAACTATTTAAAAAAACAAATGTACTATAGAAAAATCAAAATAAAGAATTCATCATCTGCATTTTCAGAATGGCAAGCAAATCAGATAAAAGAAAACTGCATGCGGAAAGCTATAGTAAGTACTTAAGTACTCAATATAAACAAAAAACACGTGGTATGATTGCCAATGAGACCATTATCCACCAAAGTCAGTTTATCCTATAACCCAGAGGGACTTCTCTGACTATTTAAGTATTTCGGCCTTAGTTATAAATATGCGTTTTTGGAACAGTCAATTGGAATATTGTATTTTAAGACAAGTACTTGTACATATTTGACTGGGAATGTGTCTTTGATATAATGATTTTGACACTAGTTAAAGGAAATTACACACATTTTATGTTACAGTGAAACTTAGTGAAAAACAAAAAAAACATTATCTCGATGCCAGGAAACGTAAAAGCTAGAAAATATTTTGATTAACCACCTGAGAAAATTCTTTGTTTTTTTTTTTTATTTTGTAGCTATTTTTTTTTTAATTTAATTTAAATCTTATAGAATGGACTATGTCTTAAATAGATCCTCAAGAGCTCCACATCTGTAGTTTCCAATACAGATTTACTTGGAATGGGCTTACAATGAAGCTACTGATCAAAGGATTCCAATAATGGTAAAGTGTGCGTCATCTCTTCGAAAGGTTCACGGACGCTATCATGAATTGGATGACTTAGATTGAATATATGTGTTACAAATGACTATGGATAGTTTCTAGTTGTCATTTCTACAGTCTCACTCGCCAATAATCGTTTATTACTTACCACATACTACGTCTAATCACCATTTTTAATTGTCACGAGCAAAATTGGTGCTACTAGTGGCGCATAAACTGCTTACCCTTCTGGAGTTTATAAAGGTTTGGCAGGATTCAACGTGGTGACAACATGATAACCCTTACTTTTTTTTATGACAGTCCGAAAATTTTGTGCATATGTCCACTTGAGGAATCGCTATATAAAGGTATCCTTTTGTTTACGTTGCGTGTTTCAAGCGATATGGCTTTATAACAACATCAAGAAAAGAGAGACGAAAGATACCAAGGGACATGCAAACTCACATGTCCAAAATAAACTGACAACACCAATGAAAAAAAGCAAATGACCAAATAACTAACAACTGTGCACAAAACACAACATAAAAACCTTAAGAACGAGCACCATGAACCCCACAAAAAACCGGGGTTGATAGCAGGTGCTCCGGAAGGGTAAGCAGATCCTGCTTCACACCGTCGTGTTGCTCATGTAAGTACAAATCTGGCGATAAGTCTAATTCGGTAAGCCATATTCGGGGAATAGAGGACGGGATTGTGGTTACGACAATTGGAACATATCCGTTGTCATCTGTAACCAGATATTCCATAACGGTCAAACAACTCGTGATGGCGTCCGTAAAATCTATGAAGGGATGATTTCATCTTCACCACTTGAAACTCTTGGTTTAATAGCTTCCTTGTGAGCAGCAACCCTCTATCAAGGAAATCATGATAGGAAATGCATGCCCTGGAATATCGTCTCAACTGATAGATCTATACTTCAAATGCAGGCGCTGCAATACATTGATATAATTGGTGAAAAAAATACATAATCTGACTGCACTTTTGTCTAATATAAAATCTATATAAATAATTATTATCCCAAATAAAATATGTTCCTGACTTATTTCCATTATAAGCAAATACAGAGCTTAAAATATATAAATGATCAGTTCCTCTGATAATTTTGTCTAAATCATATGGGTGCATGGTGCCCTATTTCTGTGTAATAATTTATCAAATTAGATAAAAACATTTACAGGTTGTATTTCATGTAGAAAACTGCATTATATACAATAAATCTCATAAGTACGTAAGTCCCAATTTCAGAGTTTGATCAATTTTGGCGAATCAATAATGGTGCAATTTCCTGTAAATCTTTATGCAAAAACTTTATTTTGCGACTAAGGATGTCTAGTTATCGACTTCATATGGGTAGTAAATTTTAATCACGATAAGCGTTAACTGTCATGTCAAAATCGAAAGCTGATTCAAAAGAATCGTCAAACCTGTTGCGTAGACGGTCCATAAATAGAAGACGGTAGCATGTCCAGGCATACGACTTACACTCCCTTTCTAATGTTTTTCCGTCAAATGTTTTCCGTTTGTTACTGGAAAAACGAGCAACTGCTGTAAATCCCCTCATTATCTAATCAATCAATATCCAACCAAACGTGTCAATCCAGAGTTGTATACCTAAAATTTATAATGTTAGCATACACTTTTATTGAGTTCAATTTAAGTGATTGTAAGGTTTATGCATAAAAGGATTAATCTTTCGCCGTAATTTATTTAGATATTGCATGTTAATTGTATGAGAACTAACTAGCTTGTATGGAACATATTTGTGATCTTGTGATACATTAATTCTAAAGTCTCTATTACTCATGTTACAGTTGTATTAACCAAGCCGTATTTAGAGAAGTTAGCAAGCAAGATTCGAAGTCACTACCATCTCATTTTATTCAAACTTGGAGTGGAAGAACACATGTTTGGACATTATGATAAATATGCTTATCGAAATGCTTTTAATGGTTTGCTAGATTGGCAGAGACAGTTTGAGGATAAAGGTGAACATTACATGATACAGCGCCTGAAAGAAGCACTAGTTAATGCTGACAGAAAGGATTTATGTAAAGACTTAGGTATGAATATGATAATTATCTTTATATAAGACCTTTCCACAAAACAATCTTAGATAAAAAGTTTAAAATTTTAAAACCGTTCCTTGAATTAGACATCACTGAATGAGACTTTTCATCGAATTTGTAGTTGCAATCAGCAACACGACTGGGTATCTCAACTTTTTAACGACATGTTTTTTGCGGTCTTAGATCTTTACATGCTAATAAAGTTGTCTGAGCTTTAATTTTACCGATTGTGTTCTATTCCTGATTGTGACATTTTGACTGAGTGGGGATTCGCGTGGCAAGTGATACATGCATAGAAATAGACACTTATTCTATCGACGCACCAAGTCTTTTGTTTGTTACTTTGATTTGTCTCTTCTTAATCGCTTATCAGTCATAACTTTCTATGTTGTATTTCGTTGACTGTTGGTTGTCGTTTTCTCGTTTTTATACGGTTGTAAACATTTTGAGGTCGTATACTGGTATGGCGATATCGTCGTCAGCGTCGTCGTAGTTCGAAGACATTTGGTTTCATGACAATAACTTGAGTATAAGTGTATGGACATCTATGAAATTAAACCACAAGATTCCATACCAGAAAAGAAAGCTTGGGATTGAATTTGGGAGTTATTGTCTTAACTGTTTAGGAATGATGGGCCAAAAGGGGCAAAATAAGCATTGTTCTTGTTTTAGGACAATAACTTGTGTATAAGTGTTTGGATCTCCATTAGATTGCACCATAAGGTTCCATACCTCAAAATAAATGTTAGATTTGATTTGGGGGGTGATGGCCTAAACCGTTTAGGAATTAGGGGCAAACAAAAGGCCAATAAACAAGGACTCTCTGGTTTTCGGATAAAAATTTGAGAATAAGTCTACTGATCTCTTTAAATTGTACCATAAGGTGACATACCAAAAAAAAAAGGTGGGATTGATTTTGGGGGTCATGGTCCTAACCGTTTAGAAAAAAGAAGCCAAAATCAATACTTTTCTAATTCTTTGTATAAATTGCTTATTTCTTGACCAAGTTCAATGGGGTTTAATTCAAAGTCTTGAATTATTGAGGTTCTTTAATATGCTGAATTTAACCGTGTATTTATATTTTGGATTTAGACCGGGTTTTAAATTGATCCACATTAATGTCCAAAGGGTCCTAAATTTAACTTTGTTAAAAAAATAAATATACATGTATGGGGTTTTTGATATGCTTAATCTAACCATGTATTATAGATTTTTTATTCTTGTCCCAGTTATCAAATTGGTCCACATCCGAAGGATCAAAAATTAAACTTGATTTAAAGAAGAATTCTTGGGTTTTCTTTTTATATATGCTGAATTTTACCGTGTATTTAGATTTTTGATTTTGGGCCCGGAATTTAAATTGGTCCGCATTAAGGTCCAAAGGGTCCAAAGTTAAACTAAGGTTGATTTGAACAAAATTTGAATTATTGGGTTTTTTTGATATGCTGAATCTAACCATGTATTTATATTTTGGATATTGGACCATGATAGGTGAATACAATTTCAAATTTAAGTTCTTATACATCATTCATTTTGTGTCAGAAATCTTTACTATATCAAATATCTAATCACAATCCAAATTCAGAGTTTTGTCAAGCTTGAATGTTTTGTCCATACGTGCCAAACATGTACTTAGATTTTTTATTTTGGGCCAAGTTTTCAAGTTGGTCCTAATCGGGGTCCAAAATAAGTTAAATATATGGGGTTCTTTGATATGCTGAATCTAATCGTATTTTTAGATTTTGGATTTTGGGCCCCGTGATGTGATTAAATTGGTCTTCATTAAGGTCCAAATGGTTCAAAATTTAACTTTTGTTGACTTCATCGAAAATTGAATTCCTATGTTCTTTGATATGCTGATTCTAGCCATGTACATGCTGTATTTAGATTTCGGAAATTAGTGTTGGACAATAATAAGTAAATGTCTAATTTCTAAGTTCTTAGGCCAGATTCATTCTTTGTCAGAAACATTTGCTATATCAAATATCTAATCACAATCCAAATTCAGAGCTGTATCAAGCTTGAATGTTGTGTCCATACTTGCCTCAATTGTTCATGGTTCGACCTAGGCGGTCGTATCAAGCTGAACCTGGGAGCATTTTATTCGTTTTTTGTCATGATATTGTTGGAAATTATAATCAATGATAATGTTGAAAGCATTAAAAAAAAACTAAAATTCCAAAATTGTGTCCCCACTCCTGTATTGACATGAAATATAATTCAGATACTTTTTCGTCATTCAATGTATAAATTGTGTATGTTATAAAACTGCCGCTGCAATGGAACTTCCACCGGACGAATTGATATCAGACACTGTTGAAGCTACGATGTAAAATCGTTTGGTTTTCATGCTCCTTAGTGTTTTATAAATTTTGATTCCCAAACTTTGGAACTCAACCGTTCTTGAGAAGGATTATTTTAGACACACATTTAGTCTAAAAAAAGACGAGAATCCTACATTTATTTTTCAAAAAGGCAGACCATACCAAAACTTTTTTTAAAGACTGTTATAAACTGATAGTATATAAATAACAGAACTTAAAATGTAGAAAAATTCCATGTCCTTGTTTTTGAGATAAAGCCATTCAAAATGTGGCGGGAATTAAACATTGTCACATTTTTTCTTTCAAAAACTACGAAAAAATTACAAAGATTTTATTAAATTTTCAAAAACGGCTTTTAAAACTAAATGTATATTCAATTGAATAATGAAAAAAAAAGTATGAGCTAGGTCCGTGTATATTTGCGTCCATTCGTTTTTCATTTTGAAATATCAAAAACAAAAAACAAAAAACGAGAGTGTTTTCATTTTTCGTTTTTGATTTCTCAAAAACCAAAACGAAAAACAAAAGTGTTTTCATTTTTCGTTTTTGATTTCTCTAAAACCAAAACGGAAAACGAAAGTGTTTTCATTTTTTGTTTTTGATTTCTCTAAAACCAAAATGAAAATCAAAAGTGTTTCCGTTTTTCGTTTTTGGTTTCACTAAACAAGAATTTTGTATTTAATTTTAATTATTTCTCGTTTTATAATGTACAATGTTTTCCTTTCTTGTTTCACAGTCATTGATAGTAAATAATGCCAATGTAAACACCCCGGTGTTCTTTCAACATAATGTAGACAAAATAGACCGCCTGACTTATGAATTGAACTACGGTGATAAATGAATCAAAGCCTTTCAAATTACCTTGTTTATATCTTTAATAAAAAATAAATTATTATATTTAAATATCAAACGAATCATAAATTGAAATTGTACAATACAATATTATATAAAGATGGTACAAATAAATAGATTGATTACAACATCACATTAACAAGGGAGGTTACTACTTTTAAAAACTTATAAGAAAACTACCCGGGTCGTTAAAGTATACATGCACAGTCACTGTGGTTATCAGATCTTTAATCGAAGATAATGTCGACGGATGCAAAAGACTTTATCAATCTGAACAATAAGGGTGCGTGATCTTTACTTTTAAATTTAGAAAGGTTGATCTCATATGATTAGAATTCATAACCAAGGTACATTTTACGAACATTCAGGACAATAATGTGTTTTGCTTGATCAGTTAATTGAAAAACAAATTTCCGCAATTTCACAATTCAAACCGGGATAAGCATTCAATCATTTTGCCTTTCGGAGCCTACTCGGTATTAGTTTTGCTTATTTTTGAAAGCTATATGGTGACCTTAACTAGAGCCTGGGTGTGGATGGGGGTTTACGGAAGAGAGAATAGTGGGAAAAAAATATAAATGATAGAGACAATGGACCAAGAAATAAAAAAAATAGAATAATGAGGTGTTAAAATATAAAAAGAATAGAATAATTGGCAAAAAGTATAAGAAATAAACATGATAAAGAATAGAGAAAAATGGCCTGAAACACTGATTGAAGAATAGAGAAAATGGAATAGAATATCAAAGAATACAGAAATGAAGAAATACGCATCCAGACCATCATACTATAGTTGCCTAAACCAACGTTATTTTGTCTTCGGTAGAATGTTATTGGTTTTCATACGTTTTCTTTTTATTTCTATGCCTATCAATTAAGACATGAGCTTTCATAATTTGCCAGCTTATTACATTATAAAAAAAGACTAAGCCGAACATCACTCTGGATTTTTTCTCAAGTAGACCTCAGCTACCCACCCTACCACACCATTACCGAAAAGTTAATAAACAAAATCTACGGCAAGACTTTTGGCCGTACTAGGTGCAAAGGGAAACTGGGTACCTGAGGTCTTCTGGAGAAAAAATCCAGGGTGTAGGATAAAGCAAAACATTGTAATCCACATAGCCAAGTGTGTGGCTGTTGTTTTCAGGGTATGAATGGTTCTTTTCCTCGTTGAAGACCCTCCAGCTATTTTCAAGATAAAGAACAGGAATAATAGCCCTGTTCATCGATAATTTGTATTTTTTCTATGTATTGTGTGCGATTTTGTCCCATGTACATCTCTTTATTTTCTATTTTAGGGCCTACACACGGCTCAATGCAAGTTTAGCCCTTCAATATTAAATGTCATATGTTACATTATTGTTTCGGATAAGAGTGAATTTGGTACCTATTAAAACGTTTAAACCCGCTGCATTTGTTTGCACGTGTTCTAAGTCAGGAACCTGATGTTCAGTAGTTGCCGTTTGTTGATGTGGTTCATAAGTGTTCTCGTTTCTTGTTTATTATATAGATTATACCGTTGCATAGTTTTCCCGTTTTAATGGTTTTGCACTGGTCATTTTGGGGCCCTTTGTAGCTTGCTGTTCGGTGTGAGCCAAGGCTCCGTGTTGAAGATCGTACTTTGACCTACAATGGTTTTTCTTTTAGAAATTGTGACTTGGATGGAGAAATGTCTCATTGGCACTCATACCACATCTTCTTATATCTATATATGTTTTTTTTTGAGTGAATTGGGAGATTGGGATTTCTAGCTTTAATCTCACCCATGTGATTTACAGAAAAGAGAGCTAGTTTTGTATTCTTTAATATACTGTA